TGTTTTCTTTAATTTTTGTTGATTACTTTTTAAATGATATATATGGACCGATCCTGGTCCGTATATTATTATACGGACCGAGATCGGTCCCTACACTACTAAAATAGTTTAATACGGACCGAAATCGGTCCGTATACATTAATTTCAAAAGGTTAAATACCCTTTTTGGTCCCTCTACTATAGGAAAAAGCCCCTTTTTAGTTCCTATACCGAAAAAATCCCCTTTTTGATCCTTACTGTTTGAAATTCAGCCCCTTTTTAGTCCTTCTGTCAGTCAAGTGACAGCATGTCACAATTATCCGTTAAATGTCGTTTTTTTTTTCTTTTTAATGGTGACATGGGATTACACGTGGCAAAATTGATGAGTTGGCAATAAGATTTATTTTCCATGTAATCAATAAGTCATAAAATAATTAAAAGAAAAAAATCATTGTTTCCCTTTAACTTTTCATTTCCCATTTCTATCCTCGTCTTCTTCCTAAGCCCAAATCCCCAATCCTCTCTACTTTTGCCTAAACTTAATCCCCCTTTAATCCCATTGATTTCTTCTTCTTCGCCAAATCTTCCTCCATCAAAGCCCTCAAATCTTCACTAATTTGCCCTCATTTTCTTCCCCTTTCTGTCTTCACTAATTCGTCACGAACCCAGGCGTGACTTGGGTTCATCACGCCTGAGTTCATCTTGGGTTCGCGACGAACCCAAAGCACGCCTGGGTGGTTCTGGGTGGTTCGTCCTGGGTTCTTCACGAACTCAGGATGAACCCAGCTCGCAAGACTAGGCTGTCAAAAAACCCAGTTTGCGCCTGGGTTCATCGCAAACCCAGGCGCAAGCTGGGTTCTCAATCTTTGCCAAATTGACAACGCCGAGGCCCAAGGCCACGCCACTGTTTTCGTCGCCAAGTTTTTTGGCCACTCTGGCCTCATCTCCTTCCTTTTCGTCATTCCAGAATCTCAGCGTCCTGGTGTGTCCTTTTTATTATTATTATTATTTTCTCACATTTCTCGGATTGGATTTGGATTTTTCAATTTTGTGCTCAATTGCTTGTGTCGTGTGTTGTGTTGTGTTTGTGTTTCAACATTGTTTCAATCCTTGCTGTTTGAAGCGTG